TATATAGCCTGAAATTTTCAATTTTTTATATGTTTTACTATAAAATTTGAATCAGGCAATACTTTCCAACGTGACTATACATTGTTTACAATCACAATAGTTTTTACTTTTACTCTTTGTCGTCTTTGATTTTTTGTTAAATTTTACATTCTGTAATAATGTCCTTCGCATATGAACAAAATGCTACTTCAACGCATCATGTGATATATGTCAGTCTTATATTTATTCTTCATCAAATTTTCGTTATCTAACTAAGTAATAAGTGTTTGTATTTCTTTCTTAATAGTCTATTGATTCATACCTGTCAATATTTGATAACACTTTACAAGATAAAGTTCTAGATACAAATGAACAATATACAAACCTCACATCATATGTACAATACGCTGCTCCAATACACCTCACATCATATATTGCCCCAGATGAACAGGATCCCGGATAATTATAATAGGGGTCATATGTAAAATAAGTATAAAATTTTGTATTTTTAATGAGCAGGTTATATGAAAAAAACGTATATTTTAAGAAAATGTTATATGCAAAAATAGTATATTACAAAAATAGGTTATAGTAAAAAAAAGTATAAAATTTCAAATAAAAATTCAAGGTCATATATAGATTTATTATAAAAATGTATATTTTAACAGTTAGTATTTTGCTTTTTATCGTACTTGTGATAATATCACTTGTTACATTACAGGTTTTCATTGGTGGAGATCTTGATTTTGCGACACATGAAGAAAAAAATTTATTTTGAAATTTTTTTTTCCTCTTCTCCTCTCTTTAGAACAGTATTAATAGCATAAAATCTAAAATCATAAATAGAAATAGTGAAAGTTTCATTATTTTTACGTTTGTTACTTGAAATATATAATATTCTTTCTTTTCTTTTTTTATGACAAAACATTCTGGATATTGGTACGGATTTTTGAAATTATAAGTATAGAGAATGTATGAAGGTATTATTTCTCAATTTTTTTTACTATTTTGTGTTTTTTTGTCTATAAATCTTACTAATGTTCTTTTTTTTTAGAGTTAACTCAAACTTCAAGAAGTGGATTTGAGTTCTTTTCTCTTTTTTGTTTTAGCGTTATTTTTTATTTAAGGACATTATTAATGGATTTTCTTTCTTTTATTTAGGGATATTTTAACTTGAACTTTGGTATTGATTTTAAAATTGCAATAAATGTCTCTTATTTTAGCATTTTTTGATTTTAAAACATTATTAATTGACTTTGGTAATTAACTTTTTTTTTTGTTTTACTTTTTTTTGATTTTGAATAATTATTAATATTCCTTTCTTTCTTTTTTTAGGAAAATCCAAGTTTCAGCTTAAAAAGTACTTAGATTTCATATCTTGGTAATAATTTTGTACTTCTTTGGTGGTATAACTTTCATTCTTAATCTTTTAGCAAACTTATTTTTGATCTTTAATGACAATTTTTGCTTTTGATCTCTAGTAATAGATTTGGTAATTTTTATTTTTAATCTTTGGAAATTTTGGGATTTTTACACATAGTTTTTTTGTTGTAAAATTGATGTTTATTTTGATCTTGTAAATAACATAGTTATCATAAAATTTTATCATACAGCATAAATTTTACCTGATAAAACTGTGTGTATTTTATTGATTTGCTAGATTTTAAACATTATATAGAGGTGATATCTAAATTACCCTATTTTAACATATATGATATTGATATATCATAAATAAAAAAATAAAATTTTAACGTAAATATATATTAATGTCATATGATAAAAAAGTATATTTTAGTATTATATAAAGGTTATAAGGATAAAAATGTATAATAAAATGACTAAATTTATGTATATTTTTTTCAAATTTTTATTAGTATCACGGATATGACCTCTATTATAATTGTTCGGGGTCCTTCACACCCCTTATTTTACACACTGTTACACACCGCTAAATATCACCATACACCACACAGGTGGTTGACCCTACACCACTGGTATTCGTCTTACCATACAGATAACAGATCGGATCATACGGATGACGGATAATAACAGATCAGATTTCTCAGATGACAGATTTCTAATCAGATTGGATAAATGGATGGCGGATTCTAATCAGATCGGATAAAATGGTGATGGATATCCTCAGATTGGAACACTAATCCTAATATAATTAAGACCTAAACCACCCATTAATTATAGTTACATTTCCAGGTAAATTTGTCTTTCCTTTCTTTGTTAAAGATTCCAGTTAGTTGGATACCATCAAACAGGTAAACCTCCTAAAGGAGTAGTTCAAACTCCTTGATTCCACAAGCTTATAGCTCACTTGTTGAAGTAACCATAAAATGTTATATGACCCCATTATTCCAGATATTTGATAATATTGATATCATATAGAGTTAATTTCCAGATATTGTCCTTTAGTGCTAGCACATATCTGGTCATAACTGATTGAATTTTTTTTGGAGGAGCATGAGTTTGTTTTTTTTAGTAGGTTGCGCTTTACTATCAGATGCCAAATGTTTGGTAATGTTAAATTTAGACCTATTAATGAGTGGAGTCAGCAGTTGCTGCTTACATCTATATTTCTAGAGACCATTTCTGCAAACATAACAGTCCATTACTTTTTTTTAGGAGTATAAGGTATGGCCTTGACATTGAGTTTTGTGAAATCCTATTTGGAGTTCTTTGTTGGAAATTCAATTTGCGCATCCTGATCATCAAACGTAACATTTGGTGTATTCTGATAACTCTAATTGCACCATTTGTTTTTGGAATGTTTGCTCTATGAAATCCTTCAAGTTCTTTAAGTTTAACCCTATGGTTTTTAATAAAGTCATCACACTTGTTGTATTTCTTTTCAGTGCAAAATAACCTTGATATAGTCATGAATAAGCAGTGCTAAATAGTTCAAAAAGGTTCTTTCTAGTAAGAACAAAGTTGGGAGCATTATCTAAATAAGGCTTAAGAGTATTTTTGCTATTAAATATCATGTTTATAGCATAAAAATAATAAAAATTTTTTTTCTGCTACACTTTTATTCTTTTTTTTTTTATAATACATTGAAATCTCCATGCTCTTCATCATTTACCTGATTTCTTTACTAATTTTTTATGATACAATCAATTATTGGATGATTGGTATATTACAGAAAATAAATTTGTTACAAATTAATGTTAAATTTACTATATTTTGACTTTTTTAAATATAAAATTTTGTCTATTCATCCTGACTTTCAAAATATTCAGGTTTATGGACTATTGAAACAATCTAAAATTTAAGAGCAAGGTCTACTACTCTTTCTACAAAAAATTTATTAATTGAAATTACAAAAATTTATAAGAATGTATATAAAAACTTCAGTACCATTATTTAGCATCATGTAATTACTATAATTCTATTCAATTTACTATATATTTAAAATCTGACATATATGTTGTATGTAGATTTGGAATCCGGTGGTTTTGGGATTTCACGTGATCACCACAATATAAATAAATCACCTTTTATTTATTTATTTATTTATTTATTTTATGTGAAGCTGGCAGGGGATATAAACGTGAGTATGATTCCGAAGTAATACAACCCAACAAGATCCTACCATCGATTTCTGGAGGAGCCGAAAGCCAACCTGAATTACTTGAAAATAAAAGACCTGCACTACTACCACGTCCAATAAAAGTCCAGGCGAACACACTGGGTAAAAAAAAGGAGGGGGAAAAAAGTGGAGAGGACAAGTCCCCTTTCCAAAAAATTATGGTGCATACACATAAACCTATTCTATCCTAAAAAATAATACAATTCTGAAATTCGTAAAACCGCTAATTAAAGCGTAGGCTAAACTAGTTTCTGTAATAAAGTTAAAATCTCTGCTAAAACCGCCTTGTTATCTTTATTACCACCCTTAATCTTCGAGGTATTCTTTGCCTTCTTCTGATTGTTCGGGTGTTTCTCCTTCTGGTTATTATATTTTGGGACTTTCTTCGAGGACGTAGATTTATCCTTCTTCTTAGGCTGATTACGGTCCAAATTCTTATCAGACTTACCTGATTTTTTCGGATTCGGTGTATTTTTAGCCTTCGGTTTGTTTTGTGCTTTCTTCAAGGTAGGAATGGAGTGTCGACACCATTTCAACTCCTTACCATCAGGTACAAAAAACTGTGG